ACTTGAATGAACTTAAAAAAAAAACTTTTGTGTTTGAAATCAAAGATCTTGGAACCCAAAGAAGGAATTATCATATCCCAAATAAAATATATCATTGACCTATCAAAGGAGACAAAAACTTTGGGATGCAAATCAACAAGTACTCCTATGCACCCTAATCGACGAGTAACAAAAGGAGAGGATGACACCCCAGTTAAATAAGAGAGGCATCAAAGACTTGTGGAGAAACTTTTTAACTGTCACATACATGACCTAATATTACTTAGGCCTCATTTGGGGCAGCTTATAACTGCGGGTGGCGTTTTCAAAACATCGCCCTAGCGTTTGAATAGTGTGTTTGGACTATGTTTTATAAAATGGAGTAATTTATTTCTTAATAAGCAAGGTCGCAGGATCGACCCCGCTGTCCGCATTCGTTCGCAATTGTTTACCCCGCTGCCCTCGATCTCGCCACTCTCGTATCTCAGCCCCACTACCTTCCTCATCTCATCCACTTCGCTCCATCTACTAAGGTATATGTGTGTCTCATTGCTCCGGTGAGCGGAATCTTCTTCAGGTTATGTTTGCGCCGGTGAGCCGATTCTTTATCCTTATCCCATCCACTTGTAATTTTCTTCTATTTACTGATCAGGTCTTCTGCCCTAATTCGTCGTTTCGATCTTACCCTCACATTTCCTACCGGAAAACCTCGCCAATGACCCTTCCTAGGAACGACAGGATTGCGGTGACAAAGCTCTGAAACTTCCATGTTCACCGCAAGTCATCTTCAGATCTTTCTGTTTGTTCTCGGTGAGTAGAATCCCCTGATTTCTAGTTATTTTTCTCGCAGCAACCTTTTTCTCTTACAATTTGTTAATTTTAGGGCTAGTCATTTGTCTCCAGTGAGCAGAGGTTTCTCCCCCATTGATTTCTGAGGTTGTTGGTATGCCTTTTTTCTCATTGTCTCGTTTCTCCCCACTAATTTTTAGGGTTTGCTCGTTTTGTAACTTTTATGATTTGTTGTTAATTTCTTTACACCATATTGTTTTTATATGTAATCAGTATTGAGACCTATTCCACTGTTCTACCATTTTTTTTATTTACCTTTTTGAAAATAACAAGAACTTTAGAAATAGCATGCAAAGTTAAAAAATAGAACTAAGAACTGAAATAACATGAACAGAAAAAATAACAAATGCAAGCCATTAAAAGTATGTAAAAGCTATAGCAAAAAGTTTTAAACCAGAGAATGAATGCATCACAACTTAAATTAAGCGAGCAATGGACCAGTAAAAACTATAGCAAAAAACTAATATCAAATGCAAATGCTAATGCACAAAGCTCAACAAAGCTATAAGGGAGAATGATCATTTATCCAGATCAGGGACAGAATGATCATTTATCTAGAAACAACTGCAAATCAGCTGTTTTCCAAACGTACAAACCAAACAATCAGCTAACTTATCTGGATCAACTGCTGATACATGATAAACTGCTTATCTGGATAAGTTGGATAAATTGCAGCTGCCCCAAATAGATCCTTACTCCGTTTAATTTTAAGGTATCTAAAGATGAGTCTAGGATGTAAATTGATTTTCAAGAAGACTGAGAACAGTGACATTAAGATCTACACTGATGCTAGTTGGGCAAGAGAATTGACTGATATAAGATCTACCATGGGCTATTGTTCATTTGTATGGGGTAGCCTTATTACTTGAAGAAGTAAACAAACAAACTGTGTTGGCAAGAAGCAGTGTAAAATCTAAGTATTGTGCTCTGGCCCTAGGAATTTGTGAAGTAATGTGGCTTATGCAAATATTGATGGAACTTCACATGGTGAACCAAAGCACTATTAAGATGTTCAATAACAGTCAGTCAGCTATCAGTATTACAAAGAATCTAGTACATTATGATTGAACCAAACATATAGAGATTAACAAATACTTCACCTCTGAGATGGTTAATGGGGGGTTATTCAATCAAGTTATATCCTAACTCAATATCAGATTGATGGCATTCTTATCAAGGCACTTCCTCGACACCACTTCAGTGATCTAAGCAACAAGTTTGGGATGAGTGACATATACAACTCAACTAGAGATAGTGTTAATATGCATATCCAGTTTATGAAACCGTAGGCCAACTATTACATTTAAGGAGAGAAATTATTCTCTTAAGTATCTACTATTGTGTTTGTAATTTTTTTTCCTTTTTTATCTAATTTTCCCTCTAATTGTATGAGGGTCAAGCTAAGCTGTCTATATATTTGTTATTTGTTTAATGAGAAAATTAGAGAGTTTATTCCTCCCAAAAATCTACATTCATAATTTCTAATTTTACCAAACAACCATCACAATCTCATTCACATCATCTTTAATTTAATAATTAATGACACTTCACTACCCAATACTCAATATATCTAAGACAATATATTTTTTTGCAAAGGTTTAACTCTAGAAGTTATATCTTCATTCCTAATAGATCCATGAATCATGTCACTTAAATCTATCATTTAAGTATCAACTTATCTTTTAATAATATTAACCAATAATTGTTATAACACCTACTAAAAATGCATCTCATATATATCATTGTTTTTTTTTAATTTCAAGTCCATGAAGTTTATTCATTATTCTAACTATTCACTCATTTCAACATATCTCTAGCTTATTTGCAAAATAACACACACACCAGGTAACCTGACTTTGAATATCATTTTAAGAATATTTATAGCCAATATAAAAAAATATGGACTAAATGCTAATCTTGATATAATCATACTTTAATTGAAAACTTTTTGGTAGTTCGATAACTGTTTTTAATACTCATACAATACACATATCATAAACAACTACAGCACAAACTGGATATACTTTCATACTCGATAAACATTAAATAAATTTCAATCACTAGCCTTCTACAAATCAATAAAAATCATATGAAGAAGATAAATTGTTTTCTTTCAATACTCTTATAGTAATCATCTTATAACAAAATTCATTTTCATAATAGATCCCTGAGCGTGAAATCGAATTTATTCTCAAAATTAAGAGAAAAAATTTAATGTTTATATTCGATTATCCACTCCCATGATTCATTACATCAATCATAAGTTTGAGTTTGATTTATACATAACTTCCATAGCCTTGAATATCTCATTTGTTATAAAATATTTATTTTACAATCATTTAACATACTATTACTCTTCAAAATTAAATTGAAAATATATCATTTCTATTATTAGAAATTAAAAGTGCATATTTGCATTAATTATGTAAAACCCTGAAGTTATTCCTTGAATTTACAAGTAAAAGAGATGTAATGAAAGGTAGCAAGAAGAGAGATAAAATATTAGAAGAGGAAGACCTGAGAAAGGAAGAGAATAAAGATGATAAGAGGAATATTCAATGTTTGATTCAACATTCAACTGAATTCCTTACAAAACACGGAAATGCAACTGATAAAATAGGATTTACAAAAAATATCAATCAAATGAATTCAAATATAATCTTGTCTAACATAATATGAGTCAAAACTTAAATATAAGGATTATCAAGAGAATTATAATAAATAAATAAAGGTAATCTACAATATAATAAATACATAAAGGTAATCTACAATTCTAATAAATTCAAAAATATTAAACTAAACTTAATTTTGATCTCTTGTGCTATATCAACTCCATTTAGCTCAAAAGAACTCCTAGCACAAAAATTTGATGAAAATTTGGGGAACATCGAGAAGGAGATAATGGAACTAGTTCATATACATTTGCTAGAGCATCAAAAGAAACAATGAAGATATACATAAACAAAATAACACGTAGCAAATAATTAAATGTGAAAACTATAAAGAATTATCTCTAATATTAGATGCATGATGTAAGTGGATGTACAAACTCAATATTAAAGTTTGATAGTGATGACTGAAGTTGTACTGCCTAGTATATATAGATCAACTTGCAGTGCTATTCAAATTGTCTTAAAAGCATCCACAACTTTGTTAGATGTGCAAACTCTACTTCTATATTAGGTGCATAACCATCAACTATAGAAAACTTGGAATCAAGCATAAGTACAATTTCACTTGCATCAAATTCAAGTTATCATCAGTATCTAATAATTCAAATGTAGAACTGTGGTCAACACAATAATAATCTTCATAAATTATCTCAAAACAAGAATCAAATTCTTTAATTTGTGGAGATGCCTTGATAAATGAACCGATGCACTTCGAGGAGTGGGTTAATATTACTAATAATGGAATAATTACTTGAAATAACCATGTAGGAAAAATGGGTGCAAAGTGAGTCAAGGCATGTGACAATACGCAATCTAATGCATGAGCAGAATGATGATGTTCATGCACGTGTGGATTGCAATAGAGGAATCAAAGGTAATGGATGCAAAGCAAGGATGCATAAAGCTCGTACGAGAAGAAAGAACACAATCAAACCGGGTGGGGAGATCAAGCAGGGTTCAATAAGAGAAAATCATTAAAAGCAGATGTGCATGTGAGACATCGGGCGATAATCTCAGGAGTAAATGCAGTCTCATTTTGGAGCAACAGCAAGAAATAGGGGGATTAACCGAGAACAAGAGCAAGTGATGATAAAATTGAGGGATCCAATTGATAGATGTTGGTGAAGGGTGCCAAAATGGGTTTCAACGAGTTGGAATCAAATTAACTGATAGAATAGACCAATGGGATCATTCAATTTTGTTGCTCAAATGATGTAGCTGAGAGTAGTGAGAAGGGAGAAATCATTATTAGGAGAGAGGGACCAAAAAAGAAAGAGAGAAAAACAGGATGAGAATTATATCTTTTCATTCATCATTCAATTGCATTCAATTACAAACCCCAAATATCCTATTTACGGAAATATCTTTACAAAATAAAGATCAATAAAGTAAAACAACCTAACATTCTAATAAACTTTAAAATACTGAAACTAAACATAAACATAATCCCTTGCACGGAATTAAAAAGCCATTTGTGCATTCAACAATCATGAAGCTAACCTGTCTCCAAGACAAAACAAACCACAACCTTTGATCATCCCTCCATCCAAGGAAACTGCACCATCGGTTATGAAAGGCTGAGCACATAGCATTTCAGACCTGCTTTTGTATACTTGTAGGCGAGAAAATAAATTAAAAAACAATGTTTCCCTTAGTCCATAACCATCAAAAGTGACACAAGATAAGTGCATGTCATCCACGCTGATCATGTTCACAGCAAAACCTAAAAATCCAGGTGGGAGCTTCCCATTAGGTAGCCTTGGATTCAATAATGCAAGCTTCTTCTGTGGATCATCGGAAATAAATTCACCAACAAATGGTCTGAAAAAATAAGGATGAGATTTATTAACAGAACATTTGGCAATGTGTGAAAGCATCCATATGTGACAAAGACACAATATCTGTATTAAACAGAAGGAAAAATGAGAACATGAAACTTACCTCATGTTTTGAAGGCAAAAAACATGAAATCTGCCTTTCATTGTCCTTCCAATTGTTGGTGCAACTCCATGAAGGCCAGTATTCCTGTCAATGGAGCCATCTTTCTCATATTGTTCAAGAGCTTGAACACCTTCTAGTGTCTTGCAAACAATAGCTAACATGTTGTCCAAACCCAAGTACTCAGACAACGTTCTGATTACAAATTTAATAACAACAAATGAGAAATACATGAAAATTGACCAGGTCACTTTCATAAGGCATACTTATTGAGTAGCAGGTGACGAGGGCGGATGAGCTTTAAATTATAAAAGATTGTTATCGGGAGATTAGTTAGAAAA